GACATTAATATAATTGAAAATATTTGGTTGAAAATAAAACGTTCACTTCAAAACACGGCCAGAGACATCAAAACCCAAGACGAACTTTTTAATGCAATACTTGATATCTGGCAAAACATCGCCCTTGAGTATGTAAGAAACCTATACCTATCGATTCCCCGTCGGATCCAGGCAGTAATAAGATCCATTTAAAGGTCAACTCACAAAATATTGAAAACAGTTAGTCAGTTTTTCATACTTTTAAAATAGTTTTATTTTGTTATGCGCGTCCTTGTTTACGGCCGCCATTTTGAAAAATCGCGAATACTTTTGCTATGGCGCTGTATGTTCAAACCAACTTTTTCGTTGTTATTTCTGTAGGGTTGGTTTCAAAATGATGGCTGTTGAGTAGGTCTAGAATGATGCTTTCACTGTGATTGAACTTAAAAATAATGTTTTACAAATTTAATTTTGTACGTGTACAGAAGTGAATGTTGATATGTGTATTTTACATTAAATTTTATTATTAACTTGGATTTTATTTTCTCTTTCAGAGAAGTTTCCCAAAATATTTCACATATCGTGCCAAATTTGATGTAAGTAAATGACAACATGGTAACATTTTTGATATAAATAAAACACATACATGAAAACAAGTAAATGTGTTCCAGGAAATGTCTACTAGTTCCCTTTAATGCTTCAGACTGTGATATTTTTAAAATCACAATGTTTATTTTTAGTTTGGTGAGGACAGGATTTACCGACATTTAGAGCCCGCCCTGGCCTTCCAGCTGGAGATCAACAGACTGAGGAACTTTGACCTGGAGGCCATACAGACCAACAACTACAAGATGCATCTGTACCTGGGAAAAGCTAAGGTAGAATTTCACTCAGTTCTGATTACAGGGAGAGAACTCTTATAGTATAAGATGTAATTCATATAAAAGCCTTCCTGTTATATATTACTGAACAATTTAAATTCAAACGTTTCGAAAATAAGTTAATAAATATGTATTATCTTCTTGAAATCACGTTATTTTAAGCTTATTGCTTTACAGAAATTTGTGAAAAGTTAAAAGTTGATTGAAAAATTTAATAACGTTGCAGACTCTTAACAAAGTTGATTGTGTCCAACAATCTTAAAAGGGACATAACTCTGTAAATTGTCCTCTAAATGTTCTTGTTTAGTGTCTGGACAATCTTAAATGGGTGTTTTTCAGGGTTACCTGCATCATAAACTTATTTGTTTATTGTCTAACAGGTGGCATCAGGACAGGAAGTGACGGATTACAGATTCTTTGTGAGGGTCATCATCAGGCACTCCGACCTCGTCACCAAGGTAACATTGCACACAATGAATAGGTACAAGATTTATTCTTCTCAAAAAAAAATAAAATAAATTTTTTTGCATGCAAAAACAGTTACAAGATATTGTCTGATTGTACCATCTTGTGTACTTGTGTCTTGCACTTCTTTATTTTTCTCCCCTATATTCTAAATTCTACAATAAACAAAAAATCCAGTGAAGCAAAGTGTTCCTTGTCAAAGTTTTCCTATATTTATGTGTTTGTATATGGCATCATCTGAACTATTTATACTCTTTTTCAAACAAAGACAGGCCTTAAGATAAAATTTGATGTTTTTTTTCATTAGGAGGCCTCTTTTGAGTACCTACAAAATGAAGCAGAGAGAACCCTCCTGGAGGCTTTGGATTCATTAGAAGTGGCATTCTCCCATCCACTGGTGAGTTAGGGTTGATAAAGTCCTGTAAATTCGCTTATTTTCATTGATTTAAATTTTATTGGTATATTCTTTTTAGTATTTTTTGCCTACCAGCTACATTTTCTACATCTAAATAATTATTGTATTGGCAATTAATATGAACCATGTCAAAGGAATATGGCATACCTGGTCATAAGGTTATCTTTTAAAGGTAGATAGGGGATTTGATTTTATAAAAGTTTGGCATCATTCAGGAATTATATTTTATGAAGACATGGTATATATAGGATCTCTTATGATTTGTAGTTGGATATGATTTTTATCCAACGAGTTGTGTGATTTTTATCCCCGAGCCTTGGCGAGGGGATAAAAACACACAACGAGTTGGATAAAAATCATATTCAACTACAAAACATGGGAGATTCTTTTTATCCCATGTTTAATACTTCACAACCGATGTTTAACACTGTTTTATATAGGATTCTGCTATTTTTTACTTCCTCGCGCTAACGCAAAAACCATTGTGACGTCATAACTGTGGGATATGAAAACGATATCCCATGAGCTATATCCACGGGATAAAGGTGTAAACATGGGATAATTCTTTGTATCTAAGTAACTTAATGATTAGAATTAAGCTTTTTAATTAGACTTTGATTACCTTTTGTAGGTGATGTTTGAGGCCTACGGAACAAAACAAGGGGCCCATCATGGTCTACTGATTAGCACGCCCTACCCCACAAAGGACCACCTACAGCTGAAGAGATTCCAGGCCCAGTCAAGTGGAACAACCTATGTCTATGATTTTCCAGGAATGTTCACTCAGGTATCACAGAAATAGACATGTCGATGTTTAGAAATGAAACACCCTGAAGATGCCTTCATTTCATTAACATTTCAGGAATTGATAAATTCCTATCAAAATTTTTTTCCCCTTGCAGACATTATTAACTATACTTTCTAATTTAACATATTTTATATAAAAAAAAAATGAGAAGAGAGGAAGAGAAGAAGTACATGTAATAAAATGCTTGTGTAGTAGGGTACATCTATTTAATATGATGCTTTCAATGTGTATTTCTTGCATAAAAGATAGAAAATTGTGCAGAATGCTGTTTGTTCTTTTAACTTTGTTGTTCTGTGTTTTAGGCCTTACAGAAGTTTTTAGCTCACCTGATCACAACTTGTCCGTTGTTTGTCGTCATCGTTGTCGTCATTGTTGTTGTTGTTGTAAACTTTTCACATTTTCATTTTCTTCTCAAAAACCGCTGGGCCAATTTCAACCAAACTTGCCACAAAGTATCCTTAGGTGAAGGGAATTCAGGTTTGTTCAAATGAAGGGTTTCGCCCTCATTAAAGGAGAGATAATTGGGAATTAATGAAAATTGGTGGTATGTTTTAAAAATCTTCTTCTCAAGAACCACTGTGCCAGGAAAGATGAAACTTATGGGAAATATCCTCAGGTAGTGTAGATTCAAGTTTGTTTAAATCATGACCCCCGGGGTAGGGCGGGGCAACAATGGCAGACCAAAGTTTTACATAGAAATAGATAGGAAAATTCTTTAAAAATCTTCTTCTAAAGGATAACAAAGCCATAATTGATCATATTTATATGGAAGCATCCCCAGGTAGTGAAGATTCAAGTTCGTTCAAATCAAGACCCTCGGGGGTAGGGCGGGGCCACAATTGCCAACCAAAGTTTTACATAGAAATATGTAGGAAAATTCTTTAAAAATCTTCTTCACTCTAAAGAATAACAAAGCCATAATTGATCATAGTTATATGGAAGCATCTTTCGGCAGTGTAGATTCAAGTTTGTTCAAATCATTCCTGGGGGTAGGGCAGGACCACAATGGCTGACCAAAGTTTTACATTGAAATATATAGGAAAATTCTTTAAAAATCTTCTTCTCAAGACTTACAAAGCCATAATTGATCATAATTATATGGAAGCATCTTAAGATAGTGTCGATTCACCTTTGTTCAAATTATGGTGTGGGGCCACAATGGCCAATCAAAGTTTAACATAGGCATATATAGGAAAATTCTTTAAAAATCATCTTCCCAAGAATAGCAAAGCCATGATTGGTTATTGGACTACTTTTGGATTTAAAGTATTTAATTATAAACCAATTTCTACTTTTTCCTAGCCACAGTGCTCAGGTGAGCGATGTGGCCCATGGGCCTCTTGTTACAATATTTCATATAGAGCACAACCTCTGATCCAAAATATGCAAATAAATAATGAAGACTCTGTTTCTGAAGATCATAAAACATGTTTTATTTTTTGGATCGTGGACATATTGTAATTCTTTGCTGAAGGTAGTCAAATACACATGTTTTCTGCAAATTTCAAGAACATTGCAATTTCTCAAACCTGTTTTCCAATTTGTGGATTCTTGAAAACAAAATTTTATTATAGAAAATTAAAGGACCAAGTGTCTATTTTATTTTGATATATGAAATGGGAAAGAGGGTGATATTTATGATAAATTAATTGATATAAGTACAGGGCCATTTTATGTATAACATGGCTCTTGCTCTTTGTTTTCTGTCGTCGTTGTTGTCTAAAATTTTCAAATTTTCGTCCTCTTTTCAAAAACCACCGGGCCAATTTTAACCAAACTTGATACAAAGTAACTTGGGTGAAGGGAATTCAAGTCTCTTCAAATGAAGGGCCACGCCCTTGTTCAAGGGGAAATAATTCAGAAATAGTGAAAATTTGATGGTATGATTTTAAAATCTTGTTCTCAAGAATCACTGTGCCATGAAAGGTGAAACTTATAAGGAAGCATCCCAAGGTAGTGAAGATTCATGACCCCCAGGGGTAGGGCGGGGCCGCAATGGGTAATCAAATTTTTACATAGAAATATAAAGGAAAATTCTTTAAAATTCTTCTTATCAAGAGTCACTGTGCCTGTAAAGCTGGAACTTATAGGGAAGCATTCTCAGGTAGTGTAGATTCAAGTTTGTTCAAATTATGTCCCCATGGATAGGGAGGGGCCACAATGGCCAATCAAAGTTTTACATTGCTCAGGTGAGCGATGTGGCCAATGGGCCTCTGGTTTAATTGCCTTTTTGATTGACTCAGACAACTAGCTGTCGAGTGTCAATATAATGTACTGGTTTATTTTGTAGCAGACCGTCCTTGTAGAGGGAATCTGCAGCTCGACCGACAGAGCTGTCCGGGTCAGTGGTTACCTCCCTTACCTCGAGGCCATCTTTGCGGAGGAGTTACCCATCCCCTCCTGAGCCCAAATGAACTCATCCCCAATGTTACGGGACATTGGTAGATTTGCCCCAGGACTACACTGATGGTTAGCAGTGCCCTCATCAAGTAAGTGGCCATGTTTTGAGCAAATTTTATTTTTACTAACCATTTTAACTACTGTGGTTTCATCAATATTCATTGAGCACCAATTTTCATGGATTTCGTTGTTGAGCAGATCCACGAATTCAAATGTTCATTTAATTACGAAATATGACATTCACTGGTATAGGAAATGCTTTTCTCCACGAAATTACGTATCCTTGATCATGAAACTGTCTGTTTTACAAAATCCATGAAAATTGATGCCAACGAAATTTGATGTAACATTTTCAGCAAATGAATACACTGTCTGTGTCGCCGGCTGGAAGGGTGTCTCACCCACCCCCGAGTACAGGGGGATATTGTACATGCCATCGCACTGTACGGGGATTGCATGTGGGGAGTCACTTCCCCTTAGAGTGTTGACATCCACCAGCTGGCGACACCGGTTACTCATGTCAGCCTCATTTATATCTTCAATTATGGGCATAATTTTATTTGACATTTTTTGTAGGGAATTTCGAGTAGGAGGGGGAGTGTTGGTCGAAAGAAGAATTTTCCTCATCCCATCATTACCTATAGGAGTTTGACTGAGGCCAACTTGTAGACCGTGATTCAGAGTGGCAGCTTTCCTACCCGGGGATTTGGTCTCAACCTCCTTGTATAACTTGTACCGCTGGGATACAAACAGACATTTTGTGCAGAGGAGGCCCATTCTACTTGCGAGACCACACCTTTCCTCAGATGCCAAGTCCCACGTGAGGGGTCCTTCACAGCCGGATGTCTGTAGCTGGTGCAGTGAGACAACTTCATTCCACATCTCGGCTGTTTTCCCCAAGTGTAGAAGTCTGTGGGAATTTTTGTTAGCCAGCCTAGGTAAGGTCACAATAGTTTATTTGCATGAAACAGTCAACAGGTAGAAGAGCATGAGAGTACTTATTAGAGTTATTTCCCTTAGACCTACTGACTTGACATACAGAACTTCAGCATCATGTAATTTTAATTGTTTCAACTTAATACTTATGATTTGTTTGTAAATGTTTAAATGTAGTTCAGCTGCATGTATTACATTTAACTTAAATTGCTTGTATTTACATGTATCACTATCTACATGTAATTGTATATAACATGTAATACCCCCTGAGAAAATTAATTTTTTACATTTTTAACTAATGATATCTGATATATAAATACTTAATCTGTAAGAATATTTGAAAAATATTGCCTTGTTATCATTGTTTTATACAAAATTTGACTTACTGCACTGAATCCTTTTCATTGAAGCACTGTGGTGGGGTTTCATCTCTCAGCTTCCTTGGGCGAACTCAGAGGAGGGTGGCACTTTCCCCACACAAGCATTTCCTCTTTTTCTGCAGTTGACAGAGTGTCTGAAACCATCATATTCATCTTCTTGGACAGTCTGCTGTATGGTGCAGGTAAGTTTTCCTCCTCTTTACTTTTCACCCCCTTATTGTTGCACATTTTGGGGCTTGTAACCATGATTTTGACCCTTTCTGAATTTTGGAATTGCTTTTAAGGGTCCTCCACACACCCACAGCTTATGTTCTCATATTATTAAGCATTACTTTTAACAAGCATATCAACCTTTAAAAACTGTCCAGGGATAAAAATGTAATTTATACTGATTTTTTAAAATAATCATTTCACAAGTTTCAAGAATTTTTTCCCAAGGCGTTTTCAGACCGAGCACAATTAATTTTGTCTTACCCTTTCGTATATATTTAAGCTCACAGAATAACCATAAAAACTTAATTTTATCGATCAACACATTTTTTACAGAAATTTATTTTATTTATAAAAAGTACATAAAACTCATTTTCTCTGAAATACATCACGAGAAAAATCAAGAAGGACTTCTTTTGTAGAGAAGATACATTAATGAATTAGATTACTTCAAAAAATTGAATTAAAATTAAATGCACTGATGTAGAAAAAACATTTTCAAAATCTCTGGAATCAAAGTTCCTTTTTGGAGTTATCTTTCCTGTTGCTCGGGACTCAAAAACTTGGGCAAGTCTCCGCTTACGTCACCATACTATATCTAGTAATTAATATACTGGCCACTGAACTGGACACAAATAAAAGAGGAAAACTAGATACGCACACTATTTTATCAATATTTATAAACACACAATAAGACAATGTATTATTGAAACGTACAAATTAGTGTGCCGAAATTTCAAGATGTTCAACTATCAAAAAAAAAAAGACCGGTTGATAAGGCCTAGCCTGAAATAAATAACCTATACGTTTTTCGTCATACCCACCGGTACCTGTTGCCTAGGAATTATTATCTTTATTAACATAATCCAAGACGTCTGTTGTTCTTTTATTAAAAAATACCGAAATCGTTTTCATCGGTCACTCCAGTCGTGATCATGCCATGTGCTCATTGTTTACAAACGGTGGTAGGACAATTTGTTCCGGTATTTTTTCAATAAAAACGGAAGTAAAAGTATTTTTTCTCTATATACGTCACAGGTCACATGGTGTGGAGGACCCTTAATTCTCCTTGTTTAGGCTTATAATTCCGAAAACTTGACAAATAGTTTATGTTATTACCTAACCTACTATATGAATTATAATTAGGCATTTTGAACTGTTTCACGGTTTACTTTATGTTTTTGCGTGATCATGAAACAGTGAACTGTTGACCGGTCCACAGAATGAACTGTTTACTGTTTAAAGCTTCATCAAGATATTCAAGCGTTTTCATGATCACGACATCACTATTTACCTGCTCTATAATTAATCAAATTTAAATAAAACACACAAACAATCAATCTATTAAGTATTACTTTAAATTAAAAATATTAATTTTATCTTTATATTATGTATTCAGCTAATTAATAGAAAAGTATGTGAATAAACAGTTGTGAAAACTTTTTTATTGATTGTTTGTGTGTTTTTATTCCAATTTGATTAATTATATAGTAGGTTAGGTTATAAAACACTTATTCAATGACTACTCGGTGAAACAGTCAAAATGTTGTCCCCTCGGCCTTCGGCCTCGGGCAACAGTTTCCCAGGTCTCCCCCACTACCTCGGGACAACATTTTGACTGTTTACCTCGTAGTCATACAATAAGTATATACTGTTTAAGGCTACAGTGACTGAAGTCTACTGTGTTATCAAAATGGGGAGGGGGTGTCTTTTCTCTAAATTAATTGTAAACAAAGATGATATAGGGGGTACCTGCTATTTCTTTTAATAAAGCTACATTAGATGGGGAGGTGAAACTTTTTGTACATACTTAATCAGCAGGGGGGAACAGATAAGACTCTTTTGGTATATCTGAGTCAATTATGATTAACTTTTAATAATCAATTAAGAGTTTGCTAATTTGTCCTTTTGAAATCTTTGTATATTGCCTAATTTGCTAGGTTTTCATGCAATTTTGGACCTATTTTCAAATTCTGGGTAGAATCCACCCTTATGAAAAAATTGACTCAATTTTGACTTAATATCATTTTATTAACATCATAAAACAAAAAAATATTCATCAAACAAATACTTTATTTATTACAGTCACAAATATGTCCAAATATGATAAATGGTCAGAAAGTCATTCACTCTGTTGAACTGTGGTGGAAGCAGTGAGGTGTCACCTATTGAGATGGACACAGTATCCAATACACTGAAGTCACAGGACTCAAATTTCATACATGTTCAAAGGTATGTGTATAGTCTTTGAAATAACCACAATTGACTAATTCTGGGACAGGTAAGTATGTATGTATAGGAATGAGGGCACCAAATCCCCTGATGTACACATGGCTTTGTTTGTTTTGGAACATTAAACAGAATACTGAAGGGGTTAGGGCTGGACCAATATATCGATAATCGGTGTATATCGATATTTATTAGCAATACGATAACCGATACAGAGATGCTTGCGTATTGCTTGATTATTGCAATGTCTTATTAAAAGAAACTAAAACGTGAAAGTGACTAATATTACAAAAGACTTATCTTAAATCGGTTAAACGCATGTAAACGTCAAAAGTGTAGGGTCGCTACATAAAAGTCATCAGCAAAAAGGCAAAATGTAATTACAGTAAAACTCGTTTAGTACGAACATGGATATAACGAAGTTATTTCAAAGGTCCCAGCGACTTCGTTATAACCGAGTTTTACTGTATATTTGTCAACAAGAAGTCGCAAGTTCTGGCGGAACAACAAGCCTATAAATTATTACCCATCTCAGATGGCATTGCAACATTGACCTGTTTACTACTGTGAAACTTGGAGGCAATTCTGGTAGGTAAATGGCGCGTCAAAAAAAAAATCATGGATAATAAGATATCAATCAGAATTTTTAAGTCATAGTTTATTTAAACTCAAAGCAATTACAGGTCAATGTTGTAATGTCGTCTGTGGCTGTAGAACGAGTATTTAGCACCAGTGGCAACATATTTACATGCACAAGGGCTTGTCTGAAACATGCATGGATCGATGCCTTGATTTTTTCTGAGGAAAATATGGGCAAATAACTTTAATCTGTCATACACTTGTCCACGCAGCACAGTTAAGGTTACAAAAAGGAGGCGGAGCCTAATTTGTACGGAAAAAATCGACTATGACATCATACAAAATATACGTCATACAACATTTCTTTAAAATACCACAAAATGAGTTTATCTGCTAAATTAACCAGTAAGAAATCATCAAACTACATAAAACTTACTACAGCGTTTTGTTTTGTCGTTAGTTGAATCCCTCATAACAAGTTATAAACAAGTCACTGATCGCAATACACTTGTCAATATGATGTCATTTCTTACAACGTGACGTAGTTTGTATGCACTGAGTCTGAGAGACAGATCCAGTAATATTTTCTCAACAAAATATGTGTTCTCTAAATAAATGAAATATTATTTACAGATATTCCATAGGCCAATAGCTTGAATTTAATGTCTTCTTTACTATTTTTAGGTCACCTGAGTAAACTCAGGTGACCTATTGCTATCCGTTTTCGTCCGTCGTCGTGCGTCGTCCGTCGTCCATCGTGTGTTAACATTTGAACATTTTCAGCTTCTTCTCTGCAACCACTGCACCAATTTCAACCAAATTTGGCACAAAGCATCTATGGCTAAAGGGGAACAAAAATTGTGAATTTCATGATCCCTGCCCCCCTGGGGCCCGAGGGGTGGGGCAAAAATTACTAAAATTAATGCAATCTTTAAAAATCTTCTAATTTACTCCTGGACATCAAGCAGTCAAACTGTTTGCATGATTGTAATCAGCAATGAGTCCTCTACCAAAATGTGAAATTCATGGCCCTAGGGTCAGGGGTTCTAGTGTTAGGGCGGGGCTAAATAAGTATATAGTGAAAATGCATTATTTCTCTGAAAATCTTTTTCTCTGCTCCTGGGTATTATATAAACCAACTAAGTACATAGTTATGACGAGCAAGAGTGCCTCAACTAAAATTGTGAATTTTATGGCCTCAGGGTCAAGGGTTCTTTGGTGTTGAGGGGAGGGGGGCTCTATTGATTATATAGTGAAAATTCATGAATTCTTTGAAAACATTATTCTCTGCTCCTAAGTATTAGATAAACTAACTAAGTGCATAGTTATGATGAGCAAGAGTGCCTCAACCAAAATTATAAATTTTATGGTCCCAGGATCAGGGGTTCTGGTGTTGAGGAGGGGGGGGGGTCTATAGATTATATAGTAAAAATCCATGAATTCTTTGAAAATCTTCTTCTCTGCTCCTAGGTATTAAACAAACTAACTAAGTGTATAGTTATGATGAGCAAGAGTGTTTTTACCTAAATTGTAAATTTTATGGTCTCAATGTTAGGGGTTCTGGTGTTGAGGCAGGGCTAGCTAGTTTGATTATATATTGAAAATTCATGAATTCTTTGAAAACATTATTCTCTGCTCCTAAGTATTAAATAAACTAACTAAGTGCATAGTTATGATGAGCAAGAGTGCCTCAACCAAAATTGTAAATTTTATGGTCCCAGGATCAGGGGTTCTGGTGTTGAGGAGGGGGGGGGGGGGTCTATAGATTATATAGTAAAAATCCATGAATTCTTTGAAAATCTTCTTCTCTGCTCCTAGGTATTAAACAAACTAACTAAGTGTATAGTTATGATGAGCAAGAGTGTTTTTACCTAAATTGTAAATTTTATGGTCTCAATGTTAGGGGTTCTGGTGTTGAGGCAGGGCTAGCTAGTTTGATTATATATTGAAAATACGTGAATTCTTTGAAAATCTTCTTCTCTGCTCCTAGGAATTAAATAAACTAACTAAGTACATAGTTATGATGAGCAAGAATGCCTCTTCTAAAATTATGAATTTTATGGCCCCAGGGGTTCTGATGTTAGGGCGGGGCCCTATTGATTATATACTGAAAATATAACCCAGGGTACATTAAATCTTTGAAAATTTTCTTCTCTGTCTCTGGTTTCTTTATTTTGAGAATTTCTAGCATTAGCAATGGAAATCAGTCATTTTGAGGGAATAGAGGCATCACATCTGGTAAAGAAAGAAGGATTTTTTCCCGGTCTTTCAAAACAATACTTATGATTAACAGTTTCAAAACCTTGAAAACCCAAAATATTGTTAAAAACATTATTAAAAATGGAGAATTTTGAATTCTGTTAAGAGGGCTAAAAAGCAACTTCCGGTAAAGAAAGAGAAAAATTCATTCAACCATTAAATAACACTGATTTGGCAAAGTAAAAGATGTCCTAACTTTTTTAGTACATGGTTATAACCTGTATATAATTTTCATCCTAAAATTAGGGAGTTTCGTTTCCATTGACGGTGAGTATATATTGAATTTAACATATAAATGAGTAATCCATTGATTACGACCCCATGTATAAGTAAAATTTATCTTGTCCACAAAATTGACCTCCACAAATATACACATATAAAAGATTTTCTGTGGTATTCTGTGATTCCTGTGAGTGATGATTTTGTTGATGTTTAGGAGGAGGACGACCTGGCAGAGGTTCGCGGGGAGAGGAGAAAGACCTGGGACGACGAGTTTGTCCTGAAGTGAAGCGACAGTTCTCCGCCCTCATCCCGGCCTTTGACCCCAGACCGGGTCGCACTAATGTCAATCAGTACCAGGACTTCAAAATCCCAGCTCCTGGTAAGGACCTTGTGATATAATTAGATTGAAATCTGTTTAAAATTAACTATATAATGGGCCATTTTTGGAATATTCAAGTTCTCATTTTTTAGCAAGATTTTTTGGATGGCAAAAAACCCCCAAAATATGCAAAAAATTATAACTGATTGTGAATCATTTTATTTACATAGATAATTGTACTGAAAAGGAAGACAAATTGCAAATGAGCAATGGCTAATTAAAGTGTGTTTTGGAATATAATTTGTAAAAATTTTGTTTTATGCAAAAAAAATTATGAAAATGAAATGCATTTCTTGACATTGTATGTGTACATTGGAAAGACAATAAAGTTGATTGGTTGATCATTTATTAAGATTGAATTTGTTGTTTAGGTACAGAGCCTGCACAATCTAGTGACAGTTTGGATCAGAACGGTCAGCCCAAGATTGTCCTGTACATCAAAGCTCCTTGTCTGCCAGGGGTAAGTCTGTCTTATAAGCCTGTCTCATTTTACAACCTATTTTTTCTAAGAATGCAATTTTGTATTGAGACACATGTAAATTTGAAAATTATTTTGGTTTTAAAAAATTGGAAAAATATTAGATTGCTAAACTAGTAAACATATGAAAAGCAATTATTTAGGAGAGCTTTTGTGAATTTTGAAATGTGATAATACACATGTATTTAATAGATGGAGAACATTGAAGTTTGCCTGGGGTCAGAGACCAGTTGTATCTTTAAGTACATCCAGAAATTGTTAGTCCACGGCATGTCAGGAAACAGGAACGAGAGGATACAGAGAATTTGGGAACCGACTTACACGTAAGTCAGAGTTACTTAACCAACTTATATGTGAGTCAAAGATGCTTAACCAACTTACATGTAAGTCAGAGATACTGAACCAACCTACTCGTAAATCAGAATAACTACTTTAACGGCTTACATGTACATTTCAGTGAGAAATTTTATATAAAACTCAGAACTGATTTACACTTAAGTTAAACATTTTATTGAATGAACTTACATGTAAGTCACAATTTTCAAGTCAGATGTTGCTATGTCAACTTGCAATCAAGTCAGACTTACTTTAGTCTGAATAACGGCCTAAGTCTAAATGATGTTTACAGAACCAAATTAAACATGTACCAGCCAGACCTTTGAAATTTATCAAACTATGAACAAAATCTTTTTAATGGAGATAATTTCAATAAAAAACTTGTTTAAGGTTATCACTTAGGCACTGTAATTGAAAATGCTTTTTAAATTAAAATGTGATTTACCCATGTAAGTTCATCTTTAAATTTAATCATATTATTTAGGGAAAATAAGTAAATCTTGAATTATTTTTCAGGAAATGCAACTACCTACTGCATATTTTTTAATTGATAATTGAGCAAGAAATACATTTTAGGAATAAAAATCATAGGTATCCAGGCTTTTAAAGAAAATTGCATGAATTTTACAATTATGTTTCTCTCCTTCTTATTTCCATTGTTTCATAATGCACAAATTTTCCAAACACTGTAAATCACTTCTAATTTCAAATCATGCATATAAACATTAGTAACTAAAGCTAATTTTAAAGAAATTTTTTTTTATCAAACTATGAGGTACAAATGTCAAGTTTTTAAATAACTGTTAAAACTTTAAAGAGCATTGAATCATATGATAAAATTTGTTGCAAAAAAAATTTCAATTTCAAGCCTTGTTAAATTAAGTTGTCATATCCTTAAGTTGTCAAAAGCTTGATAGTTCTTGCACATTACGCCCTGTATTTGTTGTTACTGTTTATTTCAGAATTGTATACAGAACTTTGAAAGAAGGAGAAACAAGACAAGACCTGGAGAAAATAACTGTAAGTTTCTTAGTCCTGACATTAAATCAAACATCACAATGCTTCTGTAACATTTCTCTACATAATTTACATCTATATACTCTTATCTTTTTACTGTCAGTTTGCTGTTATTGTAACACATGATTTTATTACAATTCTTCTGTAACTTTTCTTCCACATAATTTACATAGATGCTATAGCATAAATACCTTTTCCTTGTCTGTTTGCTGTCATTTTAACGTGATTTTTCTGTACACAGGACTCGATGCACTCCCAGACCGGTGCCCAGTCTGATGCTAACACGTACCAGATTCTGAGTGAGTGGGACGTCCCCCGCAGTAACGACCCGGCGGCCTGTACCATCGACCACGTACTACAGCTCCTACAGAGACTGTACGCCATCTCCATGGAACACAGTCAGAATATGCAGCTTAACGGTAACAGGCATTATAACAGTGCATCAAAAGTATTCTGCGTTTTATGTTAAAAGTAGCATGTATGTTTGTAGAGAGGATTAGGCATTAAGATATTGGGGGGGGGGGGGGGTTAATTGTGTATGTATAACAGTGTGAGTTTTGTTAATGAAGTTTTAACCAAACAATTCAATTACAGAGAAGAAGGGTGTACAACTGAATGTTCCGGCAGAAGAATTTGTCTCCAAAAAGATGACCACCAAACTGAATCAACAGACACAGGTAAAATAACATATCTGTTTAATTATTTTGATAATGTAAATATATGGATATAGTCTAGAAAAAATCCTTTTGAACAAAGTGTTGAAACTTGTCTTTAAATATATTGGCTGAAGCGACAGAATAATAATTTATAACTTGTTACCTAGGATCCTTTGGTGTTGGCCAGTAATGCCCTTCCTGACTGGTGTGAACAGCTGACCACGTCCTGCCCTATGTTGTTCTCTGTAGATACACGACAACTCTATACTTCACCTGTACAGCATTTGGAACCTCTAGGTACTGATGGTTTTCGTGATATGAATAGATCCACAAATTTATGTCCTCCATGAAAAGTATTTTTTCACAGAGTTACTACTCATTGATTCTTCATCCTCAAACGCAGGGGGGATAAGGAAGCATACAAAATATTCTACCCTGACTAAATCAGTGCTACATTATGACGTCATAAAAGGCGAGATGACGTCAATTTTAAAACACAAGTTTTCGTAATATTGGTATTTAGAGACACATATAATTTAACTCTAGAAAATGAATAGAAACTTGTAAACATTAACAAAAATAAAATGCCCTTATCTTGTAATGCTGTATTTTGTCATTTTGATTAAAATCTACCACCGATGACGTCATATGTGTACATCAAGTAACTTGGGAATTGATCATGCCGTGTAAAGAGAATTTGGCTATTACTGCATGTACAAAGATACGTAAAATGGAGTTTAACAGCATATATTGTTAATATTAAGTTATTTTCATTTATTTTATTCTCTTTCAAAGACAGCCAGCTATATACGTACCCCGGTCGGCCTTTCCTCTGTCATTTGAGACAAAAAATTTCAACAGAACAACAATAAGCTGTATAGTTCAAAACTTAAGATTTGCACATATGGAAAGTTTGCCTCCTAAAATAGTTGGAAAGTGCTGCTAGAATCCCTAGTTAAGCATGGTTTTATGAAAAATCAGGGTTCATACGTAAAAAATTCAAAACACCGGGTAAGGTTTCGTGCGAATGTGTGGAATAATTATTTTACTAAGGGGACAATTGGATTCTAGCAGCACTTTTTAGACAAAATAGATGTTTTTCAACAACATTATTTACTCAAAAAAATTATCAAACTCCGGGGTATTGTTGTTCTGTTAGCTTTTTTATTAAGGAAAATTTCGCTATTAATAGAAGTCACGTGATGCCGTGGTGGAGGTGCACGTCATTGCTTTAAAAATTTTTTTATCTTTATGCATTAGATAATAATAGTTTATGTTAATCAGCG